GCCGCAGACATGCGCACACAGCATCACCCACACACACATACTAGTTGGGAAACGCTCCTGTAGTACTAGTAGTAGTATTAGTAGTAGTAGTAGTAGTAGTAGTAGCAGTAGTAGTAGTAGTAGTAGTAGTAGTAGTAGTAGTGGTAGTAGTAGTAGTAGTAGTAGTGGTTGTGGTAGTAGTGGTAGTAGTAGTAGAGGCCTCGTTCCGCGGCTTCTCTCGACTTCCCGCGGTCTCTCTCAAGTTTCGAGCACGCGGTGAGTTTCACGATATATGTGTGTGTATGTACGCGTGCATGCATGTATGCATGCATTGATCATGTGTGCCTGTGTGTAGGTACGTATGTATGTATGTATGCTTGTGCGCGTATGTATGTATTTAGTTTGTATGTATGTTTGTATGTGTGTATGATAATATGTGTGTATGTGTGTGAATGTAAGTATGTATGTCTGGAAGATTGTTTTTCTATGTATGCAAATGTGTTTAAATGTAGGTATGTATGCATGTGTGTATGGATGTGCGTTTGAAGAGCGAGGATGTTTCAAAGAAGAGGCACTCGGTGACGCGATCGTTGAGGGATAGGAGTGAGGTCGCAGAGGAGGAGGAGGAGAATGAGGAAGAGGCGATAACTTGAAGGAAAACGATGAGACGGAGGACATCCTGCCGGTGGCGCCCTGGGCGGTGCCGCGGAAGAAACCGGGGGCCTGCCGGAGGCAGTCTGGAGGCCTCTGGGGAGCTGTTTTGGGGCCTCTTGGAACCTCTTTTGGGCCTCTTGTGGGCTTCTTGGGGCCCCTTGGGGGTCTCTTGGGGCCTCCTGGGGGCCTCTTGGGGCGGAAAGCTCGGTTCTTTCGGTTCGTGGTCCCCTCTTGGGCCCCTCTTGGGGCTCTCTTGGGGCCTTCTTGGGCTGTCCAGAGGCCCTCTTGGGCCGTCTTGGGGCCCTCTTGGGCCGTCTTGGGGCTCTCTTGGGCCGTGTTGGAAGCATCGTGGGCCGTCTTGGGACGGACTTGGGGGCCTCTTGGGCCGTCTTCGAGCGTCGGACGCCCGAAAAGGCAAGAACGCTAAAAACCCTGAGAAAACCAATGAAAATCAACGATTCTGGCCTCTTGGGGCCCTCTTGGGAGGCCTCTTGGAAGCTTCTTGGGGCGTCTTGGAGACACCTTGGGCCGTCTGGAGGCCATCTCGGGCGTCTTGGAGCGATTTTTCGGCGACTCGGGGCCCTCTTGGAACCCCTTGGGGGTCTCTTGGGCCCCCCCCCTCCTCCAAAGCGCCGGAAAAAGCGGAGCATGGCGCCCCCCCCCCCCCTATCTTCCACTCCCCCGGAGCGGCCCCGGGGTTCGCCGGAAACTCGCACCCCCCCCCCCCCCCCCCACCCCCCCTTCCCCGGCAGAGCCACCCCGGCGACCCCCCCAGAGGCTGAAGCTCAGCCTCGAGGCTGTAGCTGAGACTCCTTGAAACTCACACGCCGGATCGAATTTCGTTGCTTTATTTTCTGCCGAAGTTTTGGAATTCTGAAAACATGTTCGTTGAAGTCTTTTGTAAAGCGTTGTGCAAGATGCAAAATGAATGCGTAATTTCCGAAGCGGGTATCCGAAACAGATTTGTGAATGAAGTCAGTTCGATGCTTGCATGCGTGTTTCAGAAAGTTTGTGGGTTCATCTGCTGTTTCGTTTTTTCATCAAGGAGGTTAGGGGATCAGAGATTCTTTGCTTGCTTGCTAGTTTGAAGGGGTTGACATTCGATTTTTGGTTTGCTTGCTTGCTGTTTCCGGACCCTTCTTGAGGGGTCCGAGTATTCGTTCAGTTTGCTTGCTGATTTCCTGAAGAGTCTTTGGGAGTAGAGTCGCCTCCCTGATCAAACCCTGCCAAATAATACCATGCGGGGCACATGCGCGCGGCCGCGCGCATCGTCGTCGTCGTCGTCGTCGTCGTCGTCGTCGTCGTCGTCATCTTCCCCGTTGTCGTCGTCGTCGTTGTCGTCGTCGTCGTCGTCCCTCTCGTCTTCGTCGTCGTCGTCGTCGTCGTCATCTTCCCCGTTGTCGTCGTCGTCGTCGTCGTCGTCGTCGTCGTCGTCCCTCTCGTCTTCGTCGTCGTCGTCGTCGTAGCCGTCGTTGTAGTCGTCGGCGCCGTCGTCGTTGTCGTCGACAGGTAATCGCAGTCACGGCTTGAAGAGGTCTTGCGACCAAGTTGCGGGTGGGTGGGTGAGATGTTTGCACGAGCAGTGGAGTGGCCAATTCAATTAAGGGTAAGTCAATTACACAGCATATATTGTACCGATAGGTTGCACCGCATATGTTGGACCACGTCGTAGGCACTCACGCTTCCCATCCCTCTCCTTTTGTCTTTTGTTACCTAACATCGAAGACTGGTAGGTTTCTAGTGGGCTAAAAACAGCTCACAGATCACTCCACAGGGGGGTCCGGGCAGGTGTTGGGAGTTGCCGGGCGGGCCTGTGCCGAACTCGTTTTTCACCAACAGTCACACACTTCGTGCTCTTCGACTTCCAGAACTCATTCCCGGGCCCACATTCTGGGGGCGGATGCAATGCTAGGACACTATTCGTGCTCTTCGTGATCCCGAACGCCATTCCCAGGGCCACATTTGGAGGGCCGGATGCAACCAGTCACACACTTCCGTGCTCTTCGAGTTCCCAGAACTCATTCCCGGGGCCCCCACATTCTGGAGGGCGGATGCAACAGTCACACCATTCGTGCTCTTCGAGTTCCCAGAAACTCCATTCCCGGGCCACATTTTGGATGCCCGGAGCCAACTGTAGGCCACTTCGTGCTTTTCGATTTCCCAGAACTCCATTCCCGGGCCACATTTTGAATGCCCGGAGCCAACTGTAGGTCACTTCGTGCTCTTCGAGTTCCCAGAACTCCATTCCCGGGCCACATTTTGAATGCCCGTAGCCAACTGTAGGCAATTTCGTGCTCTTCGACTTCCCAGAACTCCCATTCCTGGGCCACATTTTCAGCAGGGGCAAGAGCACGACGAGGAGGAGGACGAGCAAGACCAGGAGGGCGAGGACGAGCAGGAACAGGACGAGGAGCAGGAGGAGCAGGAGAAGAAGGACGAGCAGGAGGAGGAGGAGGACGAGCAGGAGGAGGAGGACGACCAGGAGGAGGAGGACGACCAGGAAGAGGAGGAGGAGGAGGAGGAGGAGGAGGGGAGGGGGAGGAGTACCAGGAGGAGGAGGAGGAGGAGGAGGAGGAGGAGGAGGAGGAGGAGGAAGAGGAGGAGGAGGAGGAGGAGGACGAGGACGAGGAGGAGGAGGAGGAGGGGGGGGGAGAGTACCAGGAGGAGGAGAACGAGGACCACCAGGAGGAGGAGGAGGAGGAGGAGGAGGAGGAGGAGAGAACACCAGGAGGAGGAGGACGAGCAAGACGAGGAGGACGAGAACGAGGACGACCAGGAAGAGGAGGAGGAGGAGGAGGAGGAGGAGGGGAGGGGGAGGACTTACAGGGAGGAGGCGGAGGAGGAGGAGGAGGAGGAGGAGGAGGAGGAGGAGAAGAGAGAGGAGGACGAGGAGGAGGAGGAGTAGGAGGACGAGGAGGAGGATGGGGGGGTGTTAGCACCAGAGGAGCAGAGACGAGGCCACCAGGAGGAGGTGGGGGAGGAGGAGGAGGAGGAGGAAGGAGGAGGAGGGGAGGATGAGAGCAACCAGGAGGGAGGAGGACGAGCAAGACGGAGGAGGACGAGATACGAGGTCGAGCAGGAGGAAGAGGGGATGGAGGAGGAGGAGGAGGAGGAGGAGCAGGAGCAAGAGGAGGAGGAGGAGGAGGAGGCAGGCTGAGGCTGAGGCTGTGACTGCGACTGCCGTTGCCGCTGCGACTGTCATCGCGAATGCGACTACGACTGCGAGAACAGCAGAATTCGACAACTGGATTTTCATCTGAATCTTAAGGGGAATGCTTTCAGATATGCTTCTACACATCGCTGTTAGGTTGCTTTGCCGGGATAATTGTCTCTTTCGCTCTCTCTCTCTCTCTATTCTCTCTCTCTCTCTCTCTTTCTCTCTTTCTCTTGTGTTATTTAATCGCTTCGCTCATTCCGCCGGCCCGTATTGTGCCATCGCAGGCGTTTGCTTGCGCGTTCGTGGCCTCTTCGAGCCTCGGTGGGGCCGTTTGGGGCCTCTTGGCGCCTCTTTTTAGGCCTCTTGGAGAACTCGGGAGGCCTCCAGGGGGCCTCCTGAGCTCTCGTGACGGTCTCTTGGGGGGCTTTCGGCGGGCTCTTGGCGGTATTTGTTGGTCCTCTTGGGGCCTGGGGCCTGACGTTGTTGGTCCTCTTGGGGCCTCACGGGAGCTTATTGGGGCGTCTTGGGGGTGTCTTGGAGAGTCTCTTGGGGCCTCTTTCGGGGTCCTGGGCGCCTTCTGGGGCGGAGGGCTCGATTTTTCAGTTCTCGGTTCCCTTCTTGAGCCCCTCTTGGGCCCGTCTTGGGGCCTCTTGGTCCGCCTTGGGCAGCACTTGGGCCGTCTGGGGGGCGCTCTTGGGCCGCTCCGGGGCCGTCTTGGGAGCCTCGTGGGCCGTCTTGGAGCAGTCTTGAAGGCCTCTTGGGCCCTCTTGGAGCGTCCGGAAGCGAAAAGGCCAGAACGCAAACAAACATAGAAAAAACCAATGAAAATCAACGATTTTGGCAACTTGGGGCCCTCTTCGGAGGCCTCTTGGAAGGCCCTTGGAGCGTCTTGGAGGCCTCTTGGGCTGTCTTGGGGCCATCTGGGGCGTCTTCGGGCGATCTTTGGCCGTCTCGGGCCTCTCTTGGACCGTGTAGAAAGCTTCTCGGGGCCCTCCTGGACCGATCTGGAGCCCTCTTGGACTCCGATCGAGAACTCCGGCATCTCTGGCCCGACCTTGCCGGGACCTTGCCGGGGACTTGCCGGGACCTTGCCGGGGTACTTTTTCTTTTCTTTTTTCTCTCCCTCTCTCTCTCTTTTTCTCTCTCTCTCTCTCTCTCTTTCTCTGTTTCCCTCTGTCTATGTAGCCCTCCTTCGCAGCGGCGCGGCCAGGCCAGGGACGCGCCCAGAACCCCCGCGCAAGAAGACGTGCTGAGGCTCGCGCTCCTCTCCAATTCGAGCGGCTGGAGGCCCGGCGGAGGAGGAGGGGGAGGGGGGGCGGGCGGGGAAACGGTGGAGGAGGAGGAGGAGGAGGAGGAGGAGGAGGAGGAGGAGTGCTAAGGAGGAGCGATGAAGTGGGAGTGACGAGGAGGAGAGGAGGAGGAGGAGGAGGAGGATCAGGCGGGAGTGAGAAGGACGGCGGAGGCGGAGGAGGAGGAGGAGGCGGAGGAGGAGGCGGAGGCGGAGGCGGAGGCGGAGGCGGAGGCGGAGGCGGAGGTGGAAGGGGGAAGCGGTGGAAAGGGGAGGGGGATGCACGGCAGCGTGCATTTGGACGCCCTCAGGCCTGGAACGCAGGGCTCGCTGGTCGTCTCGCCCGTCCCGGGCTCGGGCATCGCAAGGGTCGACGTCGACACGACCCCGTGGGCGCCGTCCCGCGACTCGACGCCGCGTGGCTCCCTCCTGGTATGAAAAGCCGGCCCCAACCACCGGTCTGAGGAGGAGGAGGAGGAGGAGGAGGAGGAGGAGGAGGAGGAGTAGAGGAGTAGAGGAGGAGGAGGAGGAGGAGGAGGAGGAGGAGGGGAGGTGGAGGAGGAGGAGGAGGAGATGGGGGGGAGGAGGAAGAAGAAGAAAAACGCGATCGTAGTTCGGCAACGCGTAAGAGTGACCTTTCGCCTTTGGTGCGGGCCCACTGGGCCCCCCTGGTCGCGGAGCGCGATGCGACAGCAGCGGACTGCGCTTTCGGGTTTGGCCTTCCCCCGCGCACCGAAGATCACTCTTGCCCAGGGTCACCCTTGCGCGTGGCCGAGTAGCCAAAATCGTGTAATAGCAAGACTGCGTAATTTAATTGTAGTACGGTGGTCTGGCGGATATGGGTATAGTGTTTCTGTTTGAGTAGATGTCGAAGGCGCCTCCGGCGAATCACCGCCGCCCTCTGCCTTCTGGGAGCACCTGCGTGGTGGAATGTCGGGCGTCAGTGCAGCAATCAATGCTTGGTGGACCGCGTGTTATCCGAGCTGCTGGGGCACAGCTGGAAGGACATTACGTAAGGGGGCTTCTGGGACCGTCTAGGCGCTGTTTTGGGGCTCTTGCCGGGCTCTGGGGCCTTCTTGGGGGCCTCCTGGCGCGCTCTTGGGGCGGTCCTGCGCCGTCTTGAGGCCGTCGTGCTCCTTCTTCTGATCCCTTCTGCGGCTGTCTTGGCCCAGCCTTGGGGACCTCTTCGGCCGTCTCAGGATGATACCGGGGGCAACCTGGACCGCCTTGGGCGCTCTTAAGACTGCAAAGGCGAGAATCCGAACATCATTGTGAAGCCGTTTGAACGTCAGCCACATTTGCCAACGATGCCCTCCTCGCAGATCTCTTGGAGCGTTTGTGGGGCGTCCAGGATTTTTTGGGGGCGGTTCTCAGGCCATCTTGGGTCGCCCTGGGGCCATCTTAGGGCCCTCTTGGAGGCAGCTTGAGCTCATTTAGAGGCAACTTTGGCCATCTTGGGCCGGCTTGCTGGCAACAAGGCCTTTTTTTCGGGTGGGGCTAGGACGAGGGTAAATCCGTTCCAGAGCGTTCCGGAACGCTCTCAGAGAGTTACGGAACGCTCTGAGAGGGCCGCGGCGCCCCAGACATTTTGCAGAAATTCTGGATCTCAGAGATTCCCGATTTATCCTTACCCGATTTGATCTTCGTCCTGGCTTCGTCTTTACTTTTCGACGTTTTCAAGGAGCCATCGCGGACAGAAAAGCCCACGGAGTACGCGCCTTCGGCACGGTCCTCCAGAGGGCCGGCTGGTCGGGCGCAGAAGACCTCCGGGAGCTTTTTGAGAGGGCCAATGGCGGGCATGTCCCTCTACAGGAGGAGCGTTCAAGAATACTGCAACAGTGACTAGTTTGAACTTTTCTTCCAAAATCCGCATGCAGGAGGACATGGCCGACCTGAAAGGAGTGTTCTAAACCTTGGGTCGCCAGGCACCCTTGTGGCAAGCGCAGGGGGTGGCGGATCGACGCCTCCAGCAGCGAATCAGCGCCGCCCCCTGTCTTCACAAAGCGCCTGTGGGGTAGAATGTCGGCGTCAACACAGCAATGCCAGTGGGCTGCGTGTTGACCGCGTGTTGCCCGCGCTGTCGGGGAACCAGTGGGGTAACACTGGACAAGGGCCGTCGTGTGGCTGTCTTGGGGCACTTTCGGGTCGTCTGGGCCTTTGTTCGGGGGTGGCATCCAGGGGCTCTCTCGAGCCATCTTGGGGCCCTCTTGGGCCGTCTCGGGGCGGTCCTGCCGTCGGACGCCTTCGGAGGCCGTCCAGGGGCCTCTCCCAGAGCCACCTTGGGGACCTCGTGGGGCCCTTCAGTGTCGGGCCGTCTGGGGGGCCCTTCGGGCCGCCTGGGGACATCTTTACTGTTAGATGCTCGTTTTGGGTACCTTCCTGGGGCCCACCTAACGGATCTGTTCGACCCCAGTTCGACCCCAGTTCGACTCAAGTTCGACTCAAGTTCGATTCAGGTAGACCTCAGGTTCGACTGCGGGTCGACTCAGGTTCGACTCAAGGTCGGCTCAAATCGACGGACGTGCGACGCAGCTTCGACGCACGAGTGGAGCGAGAGTCTCCAGGAAGGTCCCCAGAATGAGCATCCAACTACTGGGCAGTCGATTATGATGGCAGGCAAGATGGAAATCGAGATGACGAACATCTTTTTCATCTGCTTCTCGCCATGTGTTCCGATTAAGGCACGATTCGCTCACCGAGAATTTGAAGCACAATGGCTCAGCAAACGCCCTCTGCCGCAAGAGGCGCCTTGGGTTCTTCTGGGGCCCTTTCGGGCCGTCTTGTTGCTCTTTTTGGGCCGTCTTACTTGAAGGGGCCCTGGAACACACAAAGAAATCGATATACATCACAGGATTCCCCATACTTCTCATCTTTTCGGGGTGCTTGTCTTCCCCTCACTTCCCACAGTTTTCCATATTTTCTGGGGAATCGACGATTAATTGTGTCTGTGTGTTGGTTCCCCTCCTGATTAATTGGGGGACGTCTTGGGTTATGATGTTCCAACCTATTTTTGCCTTGACCACCAGGAAGAATTTCGAGCACCAAACAAGTACCGAAACTTGAGGGTTTGCACGTGTCAGGCCCTGGGAGACAGTCGCCCGACACTGTTTCGACACTCTTTCGACACTTTTCCGGGTGCTCGCAATTTTTGTCTGGGATGTTGTCCTTAAGTACGATGGGAGCAACAGAAGTCTTGGGGCTCATTTGGGCCGCATTGGGACTCCCGTGGGCCGTCGCCAGACCCCTATCGTTGTGATTTGTTCGCGGCGTGGACCCCCGAGGGGCGGACCACTTCCCCGGGACCGACTTTTCATCCCGAGTCGTTTCTGTCGACGGTCCCGGGGCCCATCCTCCTCCTCCTCTTCCTCCTCCTCCTCCTCCTCCTACTCTTCCTCCTCCTCCTCCTCCGCGTCCTCCTCCTCCTCCTCCTCGTCGTAATGGCCCTTCGTGGGGCGACTTCGCAAGTATGCGGAAATGCCACCTTCACTTTTCAAGCTCCGCTGCCGTCGATTTCCGCCCTACTTTGCCGTCGCTGTTTCCCCCATAATATCCGCCCGAAGTTTCTGAGGCGGCAAAGTCCGCCCCATGTTTCGCATCGTGTGGGCTGCACTTCCCGCACGGCTGTGAGGATGAAAACCAGCCAAAGTGTGGCGCATACGAGGTCAAGGAACGGGGGGCAGTAAACGCGGGATGAAGAAAACCTTTTGGGCCCGCGGGGCGCGCCTTGGGAGCCATTTTGGGTCCCTTCGGGGCCCCTGGTCTATCACAGTCAGTCCCCTTTCAGGGAGCCCGTTCAGGGGGTGGATCCGAAGTCGCGGGCAAGATTTGTATCCAGATCCACTGCGTTTTGGACTTCGTTGGAATCGGCGCTACAAGGCCGAGGCGCAGTGATGAGGATACAAATCTAGCCCCGAAAGTGGCCAGATCCTTAAATACATGTCCACTGCGCCTAGGGCTTCTGGGGAAGGGAGCCCGAGACTCCAAAGCGCAGTGGGTATGGATGCACATCTTGCCCGCAGAAGTCCCTTCTCTGGGCCCTTTTGGGGGCCCTCCTTCCCAGACCCCCGACGTCATGATTTTTTCATTACGTCGACCGATCGGCCCCCCTGAAGGCTCGAAGGCGCCGCCGGGGCAGCGCCTGCTGCCGGACGCTCTGCGGCGGCAGCCCGCTGCCGACGGCCGGGAGCCCGCCGAGCCGCGCGAGGCGCGGTCGCCGCAGCAAGCGAGTTGGAGGAAGGAAGAGGGGCGAGGGGGGAGGAGGAGAGGAGGATGATGAGGAGGAGGAGGAGGATAAGGATAAGGAGAAAGAAGAAGAGGAGGAGGAGGAGAAGAGGAAGAGGAAGAGGAGGAGAAGGAGGAGGAGGAGGAGGTCCAGTACTACCCCAAGAATCATCATCGATGTTGTAATAAACCCTCCCTCCAGGCTCTCTCTCTCCACAGGCCCCTACAATAGTTCATTTCCACTGAGGGAACTGCCCCGTTGGAAGACAACCGTTTGAAGACGCTGAAGCGTGCCGAAACACTATTCTCGGGACTCGAACGCCACGAATCAACATAATTGTTGCGTCTGGACGAGCCTCGTGTCAGAACACCATTCCTGGGACTGAAAACACCGCGAATCACTGTAACCGTTGCGCCTTTCCAAAACACCATTTCTGGCATGTTGACCATGAGAATCCGTGAGCTTCGTGCACATGTTGAAGACGAGTGTGCGCGGTGCTCGGGCGAGAGCCAAATGTTTTTGTACATGTGTCAAACGAATGTGCATGGCGATCAGGCGAGAGCGACATTTTGAACATCTGGGAAAATTCAAGACAATTGTGCGCGGCGCTAAGGCCAGACCCACATTTTGAAAACCACCCGTCCTCAATCCGCGAAGTTCTTGGACTGTTTAAGACGAGTGCGTTCGGCGCGAAGGCGAGTGCAACATGTTGAATACCGCCCGCCCTCAACCCGTGAAATTCTTGCAACTGTTTAGGGCGAGTGTGCGCGGCGCTCAGGCGAGATCCACATTTTGAAAACGACTCGCCCTCCATCGTTAAAGCTGCTGCAAACTTTGAAGACGAATGTGTATGGAGCTAACAAGGAGGATAGAGGGGGGAAAGGAGGGGGAGGAGGAGGAGGAGAAGGATAGAGGAGGAACAAGTGGAGGAGGAGGAGGGAGGAGGAGGAGTAAGAGAAGGAGGAGCAGGAGGAGGAGGAGGAGGAGGAGGAGGGAGGACGAAGAAGGAGGAGAAGGAGGAGGGACCAATGCAAACCCAAGACTCAACAACGATGATGCAATCAGCCCTACCTACAAGTGTTTCCTCTCCATATGCCCCTACATAGCTTTATCATTGCGGAGGGCGGTGCCCCCATTGAAAGCAACCGTTTGAACATCCTGAGCCGTGACAAATCACCATTCCTGGGACTTCAACGCCGCGAGTCAACGTCACTGTAGCGTTCTGACGGCCCTGAATCGTGACAGAGTACCGTTATTGGAACTTCAATTCCGCGAATGAACGTGACTTGTGCGCCCTGACAGTGCTACATGGTGCCAAAACATCGTTTCTGGAACGTCAGCCATCAGAATATTCGAAGCTGTTCTAAACTTTAAAGACGAACGAGAGCCGCATTAACAAAAAAACAGCCGCCCTCCATCCGCGAAGGTCTTGCAAAGTTTAAGACGAGTGTGCGTGGCGCTACGGCGGGAGCCACATTTTGAAAAGGAACCACCCTCAATCCGTGAAGCTCTTGCGAATGTTTAAGACGAATGTGCGCGTCGCGAAGGCGAGAGCCGCATTTTTCACAACGACCGCCCTCCATCCGTGAAACTCTGGCGAGCTTCTAAAACGAACATGCGCGGCGCTACGGCGAGAGCCCCATTCTGAAAACGACCCGCCCTCCATCCTTGAAACTGTTGCAAACTTTGAAAACAGATGTGCGCGGCGCTAACGAATGTGCGCGGCGCTACGGCGAGAGCCACATTTTGAAAACGACCCGCCCTCCATCCGTGAAGTTGTTATAACTTGAAGCTTGGAGATCACAAGTGGTAGGGGACTCTCACGCAAAACGCCCAGCCCGCTTTACCGACACGTCTCAGGGCGCGACAGGGAGGAGTTACTTATGAGGATATGGAATGGAGGGAGGAGGGAAGAGGAGGAGCAGGGAGGGAAAAAGAGGAGGAGGAGGAGAAGGAGGGAAAATATGAGGAAGGAGGAGGAGGAAGGGGAAAGGGAGGAGGAGGAGGAGGAGGGAGGAGGAGGAGGAGGAGGAGGAGAGGAGGGTAGGAGCAGCAGGAGGAGCAGGAGGAGGGAGGAGGAGGAGGAGAGGAGGAGGAGGAGGAGCAGAGAGGCGCAGAGAAGAGGAGGAGGAGGAGCAGGGAGGAGGAGGAGGCGGAGGAGGAGGAGGAGGAGGAGGATGCGAGGAGGAGGAGGAGGAGGAGGAGGCAGGAGAGAGGAGCCAAGAGGGAGGCGGAAGGCAGGAGGCAGGAGGAGAGGAGGAAGGAGGAGGGGAGTGGGGGAGAAAGCGCGCCGCCGCTGGGCGCCTGCATCGTGGAAGCTCCCCGCGGGCGACCGCCGCTCGCCCGAGCACCGCGGAGCGCCGCCGCCCGGCGCGCCACGCCCCGTCTGCCGCCGCTGCCGGTGCCTGCGCCGCCGCGGCAGACGCGTGCGGCGGCGCCAGCCGCAGGCGCCATATCCGGCGCCTGGCCGCCCACGCCGCCGCGGCCGGACCGTCGTCGGCCTCGTCGGCCGCGCAGGTCGGCGCCGGCGACGTTCGGCCGATTGCGGGGATGGGGGTCTTTTTTGGTAGGAGTACGAGGCGTCGTCGTCGACGGCGACGCCGACGGACAACGCCGTCGGGTCGTTCGAGCCGTCGGGCGGCGCGTCGACGCCGGCTGCCGGCGACGGGGGGCCTGCGCAGGCCGCGCCGGCGGTCGCCCCGGGCGCCGGCCGCGGCTGGGGGCGCAGCGGTACCCGCTGGGCGAGGCCCGCGTGCGGCGGCGAGTCGACGGCGGGGCGGCGACGGCGGCGCGCCTCGACCGCCGGCTGCCGGGCCGATGGCGGCGGCGAAGTCGACGGCGGCGGCTACCGGCGGCGGCGACGGCGACGGCGACGGCGGCAGCGGCGACGGCGGCGTCCGGCGACCCTGAGCGGCGGCGGCGGCGGCGGCAACGGCGGCGAGGAGGGCGGCGGCGGCGGCGGCAGCGGCTGCGAAGTCGACGGCGGCGGCGGCGAGCGGCGACGACGGGGACACGGGCGGCGACGGCGACGACGACAGCGGCGGCGGGGCCTTCTCGGCGACGGCGACGACGGCACCGTCTTCTCATCTCCCAGCCTCCCAGATGGGGTCCGAGGAGATAGGGTCGCAGGATCGCGCCGCATCGCCGATGCATCGCCGATGCGGCTCGATGTGGAGCCCGATTTTCTCCACGCCGACGTCGCCGATGCGTCGCCGACTTCGCCAGTGCATCGCCGATGCATCGGCGATGCGTCGGGACTGCGGCGCGACCCTCCGACCCCATCTACTCCGACCCTTTCTGGGAGGCCTCTATCATCCCAGTTTTTGACGGTCCTGGGGCCCAGCAGGGGCCGCGAGAGGCCGAGATCTGTCGAATAAATGCCGTCGCGATGTCTTTCTTCACGAGGGGCGCAGCTGCTGGAGAGCACCCCGAGGCCAGGAAACCGCCAAGAACCGACGAAAACGGCCAGAAACCTCCCGGCGCACGCACCACGCTTTCGTGCTGCTCCATTCGCATCGTTGTCTCTACTTCGCGCTCTGTCTGCACCCGCTTCGTGATGCGCGAGAGCCGCAGGGCCAACACCGAAAAGCACGTGGAGGTTCGACGCGATTCTCGGGCCGAACGAGAAAGGGGGGGGTACGAAATCTACCGCATGCAGCTGGTTTCGGCCCCGCCGCCGGGCCCATTCCTCGATACACATGGGCGCCTCCCGTGGGGAGATCAGCTGCGTGAGCTGATTCTCGACCCTACCCCTTGCCATCCCCCTCTCTTTCGCTCCCCCCGAGATTCCTCAGCGACGGGAGGAGGTGGGTCGCCTGGCTGCCGGCATCGACGCCGCCCCCGGTCGGCCGCAGGCCGGCGGCCTCGCGGAGGGCGTGCCCCCGGTTTGCCGCGCGCGATTCGCGGGGCTCCCGGCGGGCGGGCCGCGTCCTCGCCCGCCCCTCCCGCCTGTTCCCTTGCCCCCCCCCCTCTGCTTCCTGCGGCCACGCGCGGCGGGGGGCAGGGGGAGGGGGAAGGCTCCTCAGGAGCACCCCTGCTGCTTGCAGAAGGCGCGGGCCTCCTCTGCAATAGGTGGGGCCCGCGCCTCCTGAGAAGCAGCCGCCCTGCGAATTCCCCCTGCCCCCCCATTCCCCGTGTGCGCGCCGCCGATTTCTGCCACGCGGGCCCCTCTTGTGCTGGCAGCGGTGGGCTCCCCCGCCCCGGGGCCTCGCGGCGTGCGCGCGCCGCGGCGCCGGCTAGCGCCGCGCCCTCGCCCGCCCCGAGGCGTCGAGGCCTCTCGGGCCTGCAGTGGGCTCGCGAGGCGCTCGAGGCGTCGGTCAGCCACGCACAGAGGGGGGGATGGGGGGGAGGGGGGGAGGGCTTCTTGGGAGCACCCCTGCTTCTCAGAAGCTGTGGGCCTCATCTATATAGAAGCTCGAGGCGTCGTGGGGTGGAGGGGGGAGGGCTTCTTAGGAGCACCCCTGCTTCTCAGAAGCTGCGGGCCTCATCTCTATCGAAGCAGGGCCAGCGCCTGCCAAGAAGCAGCCTCCTTCCAAGGAGCCCTCCCCCTCCCACCACCCCCGGGTGCGCGCCGCCGGGTCGAGGACACAGCGTGCCTCCCGTGGGGCGTCGCGGGGAGGACGAGGCGGAGGTTTTCCGCTGTGTCGGGGCGCGGTGCCACGGGCGCTCCCCGAGCCGCCTATAGACTGGGCAAGAGCAGGCCCAGGCGGTACTCAGAGGAGGACAAGGGACCCGTAATAGCGCTACAGCCGGACCGAGGTATCAGGTCGAAGTCGGTTCGGGGAGGGTACCCTAGTGCTCTTCGGGTCTGTCGATGTTCTTGTGCATCCCAGGGAGGGTACCCGTGGATGTTCTTTTTGTGTTGGCCGGCGGAGGGTCTCATGTTCTTGAAGGATGTTCTTCTGGCCTAGGTCCGACTGTACCCCTCCCTCGTTTTTCGCCTTTGGGGGTCGCCTGGGAGGCCCTCGTCGCCATCGCTGGATTCGCCTCGGAATT